TTTTTTTTTTTTTTGTCAGTCATGGGTTTGAGCTCAGAGACTGTGCACTGGTCCTGAGCTCTTTTGTTCAAGGCTAGCGCTCTATGACTTTGAGCTACTGCACCACTTCCGGTTTCCTGGTAGTTCGCTGGAGTCACCAGTGGCTCATGCCTGTTACCCTAACTACTGAGGAGGGTGAGATTTGAGGATTGTAGTTTGAAGCCAGGCTGGTCAGGAAAGCCTGTAAAACTCTTATTTCCAATAAACTACTCAGAAAAAGCTGGAAGTGCCGTGGTGGCCTAAGTGATAGTGTTAGCCCTTTGCAAAAGATCTCAGGGACAGTGCCCAAGCCCTAAGTTCAAGCCCCGGGACCAGCCCTCCCACTCCCCCCCACCAAAAAAAGATCATGGACTTTTCCTGCTCAGGCTGGCTTTAAACCTTTATCCTCAGATTTCAGCCTCCTGAGTATCTAGGATTATAGATGTGAGCCACCAGACCCTGGCAAGAGAATAATTCAGTGTTTTGTTTAAAGCTAGTAAGATTATGATTTGTTACAGTGTCAGCAGAAGTGGGTCCAGTGGGGTAAGTTCCAGTTGAGACCAGGCCTTCATGGAGAATTCCATTCTGGCCATATTGTCTTTGAAATCCCTGAGACATCATTTTGAGACCTTAGCATGCTTAGTTAGGGTCTTGAGTTCTAGAAGGCGGTCAGCATTAAGTCAGGGGCTTGGAATCTATTACATGTCCATGGTGGGTTTTATTTTATTTATTTTTAAATTTTGTTTTGTGCAGAGATAACAACTACTGCTGCTGTTTCCGCCGCCACCCTTCCAGTTTTCTGGTGGTTCATTGGAGATGAGTCTCACGGACTTTTCTGCCCAGGCTCCTGAGTAGCTAGGATTACAGGCGTGAGCCACCAGCCCCTGGCCCTGAGATAACTTCTTGCTGTTCAATTCAGGCTGACCTCAAACTCCTGATCCCCCTGATTCCCCCTCCCAAACACAGGGATATAGGAATGCACCACTGTGCCTGGTTTATTGAAGGATTTTTTTTAACACCTTGGGCTTGAAAGAAGGGACTATACCTGTCAATGACTGCAGTACTTTCCAGTTTTTCCACAGTAGGACCATCTTGACAGGGCCAATAACCTCAGTCAAGTTCAGAGGCAGTGGAATTGTTAGTTCTCCTACAGCCAGAAGCCTGGACATGGAACATTCTGGTGAAGAAGCATCCATGGCATGGCCTGAGCCCCCCCCCTCCAAAAAAAACAAGGGTTGGCACTGGTGGTTCATGCCTGTAATCCCAGGTGGCTGAGATCTGAGGAGCACAGTTCAAAGCTAGCCAGTTTAGGAATCTGTAACACTCTTATCTCCAACTTAACCACCAGAAAACCAGAAGTGGTGCTGTGGCTCAAGTGGTAGAGCACTCACCTTGATTGAAGAGTTCAGGGACAGTGCCCAGGCCCAGAGTTCAAGCCCCATGACCAAAAAATAAATAAATAAAACAAGCAAGGTCAGAGCTGTGGGCAAGTCAAGAGCTTCAGGGGAGAAAGTTCAGTGAGGGAGGCTGAAGTGTGGAGGCTGCAGAGGTGGGAGGAGCCAGTAGAAACAGGTAATCTAACAAGACACCGAACAGCCAGTGCTGAGGAACACGTGGTCAGCAGATTCTCCCTCAAGAATGGACTTTGGGATGTTTCTGCCAGTTCTTCCCCCAGCTGCCCTTTCCTCCCTCCCAATCCACAACTCTCCAGGGACTGGGTCACCCTGGACCTTGCTACTTCCTGCTCTGGCAGTCCCCTCTCAGACCCGATGGAGCTGTGGATACAGCTGAAGCAAGCTGGCCTAGAGCCCTCAGGGCTCGGCCCACCTCCCCCTGCCCTGAGGGAACCCCCACCAGAGGAGAGCTTGAGCCAGACACTGCTGTCACCAGGGCCAGACCGTGAAGAAGCCCAGGAGAGCCTGCAGTGGATCTGGGAGGAACTAGTGAGTGACCAGGCTTGGAAGGACAGGAGAGAGGGGGGCAGGGAAATGAATGAATAAGTAGAAATAGAAAGGGCCAGAGATTAATCAGGGGCTTCCGAGCACCTGTCATCCCAGCTTTTGAGAGGCTGAGGGAGGAGGATCTTGAGGCCAGCCAGGGCTACATGATGAAAGCCTATCATGAACAACAAACACAAATGCACAGATGGGCTGGGAACGAGGCTTAGTGGGAGAGTGCTTGCATAGCATGCATGAAGCCCTGGGTTCAATTCCTCAGTACCACATAAACAGAGAAAGCCAGAAGTGGCGCTGTGGCACAAGTAGTAGAATGTTAGCCTTGAGCAAAAGAAGCTTAGGGACAGTGCCCAGGCCCTGAGTTCAAGCCCCAGGACTGGCACAAAAGACAAAAACAAAAAAAATGAGGAAGAAGAAGAAGAAAAGGTCAGAGATTGAAGACCAAAGTAGAGAATGAGGCTGAGACAGAGGGAAAAGTGGAGACATAGAATGAGAGATAGGAATGGACCCAGAGATGGGGTGGAAATTAGAGCAAGAGCAGGGGCAGACAGATCAGAGAAATAGAGATCATGAGCAATTTGAAGAAGAAAGTGTCACTGATGAATGAGGGACAGATTCCTGCCTGGGACCCCTGGTGGCCTGCCTATCTATGGTGCTCTTCTTCTTGGCAGGGCAACCTACGCAGAATGGATATCCAGTTGCTGGGCCAGCTGTGCAGCCTGGGGCTGGAGATGGGAGCTCTTCGGGAGGAGCTGGTTGCCATCCTAGAAGAGGAGGAGGAGGTCTATGAAGAGGAAGAAGAGGATGAGTCTCAGGAGAAGAGGGAGGAAGCACACTTAGGGGTCTTCGGCCTGGCCACTCGCCTCCCTGACTTTGAGATGACTATCTGAGGTGCAGGTCAGATCACATTCGGAATCTCTGAAGATGACCATCTAGGCTGTGGCCCCAGCAGCATGGGTGGGGCTTGGTTTGCAGATGTGGTGGGTGGGATTTGCTTAGAGTTGTGATGGGTGGGGTTTAGTTGCAGATTTGGTGGCAGGGTCTGGTTGCAGCTGAAGTGGGCAGGGGTTTGGTGGCGTTTGAGGTGGGTGGGGCTTGGTTGCAGGTGAGATGGGCGGAGTTTTAAGTGGGTGGGGCTTGGTTACAAGTGACGTGGGTGGGGGTTGGTTGTAGATGAGGTAGCAGGAGATTGGTTGCAGATGAGGTGGGCAGGGCACAGGAATTCAGGTGTGGTTGGGAAATCAAGCCTTTGGAAGGTCAGCACCCCGGTGGCCACTAGCCAAAGGTTGGCTCTTGAGCACTTAAAACATGTCTGGAGATGTGCCAATATGGTATAAGAAATTTAAAAAAACAATGGTTATATATTGGGATGGCAATATTTTGAATGTATTGGCAGCAAAGCATTGGCCATTTTACCTTTTCTGTTTGTTTCCAGGTGGGACTGGGATTTGAACTCAGGCCTCTCCTGCCTTGCTAGGCAGGTGCTCTACCACTTGAGCCACGCCCCCAGAGCTGTCATTGTGATTTTGAGTTGCATCATCCACACAGGTGAAGGAAAGAGTCTTCGCACCTGTCAGGTTCTCCTGTTTATTTTTTGCCCCAACTCGGAGCCTGTTGCACACTGTGCAAATGCTGTACCGTGGAGCGACTCCCCTCGCTCCCCCTCCCGCTTCAACAACTGGGATGACCACGTTCCTCCCCGCGTGCTTCCATTCCAAGGGTCTGAAAAGACTGCCTGGAAGTAGATGTGGTGCAGGAGTGTGACAGCGCCACCTGCGGGAGACACAGAGCGCGTGCAGGGCGGCCTCTGGGCACTGCGTGCCACTGCTTGCTCTTCCTCCCTTCCTTCCTCTTTCCCTCCTTCCCTCCCTTCAAGTGTTACAGTGCTTGAGTTCAAGCCCTAGGACCGAGATGGGGGAGAGGGATGGGGGAGAAGACTTGGAGCGCTGGGCTCACCAGCCGTTCTCCAGCTCGTGGTGGTCAGCACCATGGACAGCGCCGTTGGCCCTCCTGCCCGTAGGAGCAGCTGGAGAGGACATCACAGCTGCAAGAAACACTGAGGAAGTTCTTACAGGGAAGATTGGAGTCTCCTATGACTTCTGCCCTGCATGTCCTCCGAGCGTGGAGATGGCTGGGAAGATGGCTGCAGCCCCAGACTGGCCTTGCGGGGACTGAGCCTGCTCCAGATGCATGGTGAATGTTTCTGTCCCAAGATTCAGTTGTCAGGGGCATGGCTCAGGGGTAAAGTACCTGCCAAATATAGGCGACTCTGTACTCACCAGCAATTCCAAGCGAGCAAGTGAACAAACAAATGTATCAATAAATCCTCTAAGATTCCAGAACACTGCCACTGCCTTAAAAAAAAATGATGGGAAGGGGCTGGGAAGGTGGTTTAGTGGTAGAGTGCTTGCTTAGCATGCATAAAGCCCTGGATTCGAGGTCTCAGTACCACATAAACAGAAAAAGCCAGAAGTGGCACTGTGGCAAAGTGATAGAGTGCTAGCCTTGAGCAAAAGAAGCTCGTGGCCAGTACCCAGGCCCTGAGTTTAAGACCCAGGACTGGCAAAATTTTTTTAAAAAATGATCTGGGTACTGGTGGCTCACACTTGTAATCCCAGCTACTCAGGAGGTTGAGATCTGAGGATTGTAGTTCTAAGCCAGCCTGGGTAGGAAAGTCTGTGAGACTCTTATCTGTAACAAACCACCAGAAAACCAGAAGTGGCACTGTGGCTCAAGAGGTAGAGTGCTAGCCTTGAGCTGAAGAGCTGGGGACAGCACCCAGGCCCAGAGTTCAAGCCCCATAACCGACAAAAAAAAAGAAAAACGTACCAATTCCCTTACTTATGTAACTGTAACCCCTCTGTATATGACATTTACAATGAAATTTAAAAAGTGCTAAGGGGCAGCGCTCAGGCCTGGAGTTCAAGTCCCAGGACTGGCAAAGAAACAAAGCAAGAAAGGAAGGAGAGAGAGAGAGAGAGAGAGAGAGAAAGAGAGAGAGAGAGAGAGAGAGAGAGAGAGAGAGAGAGAGAATTTGGCTTACACCAGTAATCCTAGCTATTCAGGAGGCTGAGATCTGAGGATTACAGTTTAAAGCAGCCTAGACAGGAAAGTCCATGAGACTCTTTATCTCCAATTAACCACCAGAAAACTGGAAGTGGCGCTGTGGCTCAAGTGGTAGAGCACTAGCCTTGAGCTGAAGAGCTCAGGGACAGGGCTCAGGCCCAGAGTTCAAGCCCCACCACCACCAACAAAACAAAAAGTGTTCTGCAGTTCTTATTAGGAGTCTATCATTAGTATCTTATCCTTGAGATACTGCCTCCACCTAGTGGCCACCATGTACATGTAGAGTTTCTGAGTTCAACTCTGGATGGATTGTTTTAATCACTTGTGAAGAAATCTCTGCGAATGGACATTGCCTGTGAGAATTTCAGTATTTGCCATGTTTCTTCCTGGAAATCTTTTTACTTCTTTTTGGCTGGTCCTGGAGCTTGAACTCTGGGTTTGGCCACTGTCCCTGTGCTTTTTTTACTCAAGGCTAGCACTCTACCACTTGAGCCACAGCATCACTTCCAGGTTTTTCTGTGATTAATTACAGATAAGTCTCCCAGATTTTCCTGCTTGCCTGGCTTCAAACTGTGATCCTTATATCTCAATCTCCTGAGTAGCTAGGATTACAAATGTGAGCCACAGGTGCCCAGAGTCTTTCTGCAAATCTTGCTCAAGCATGCTTTCCTGTCTGTGTAAAGTACCCATGCTGTCTGGTTACTGCTGCTAAAATATTCAGGGAGGGCTGGGAATGTGGCTTAGTGGTAGAGTGTTATCTAGCATGCATGAAGCCCTGGGTTTGAGTCCTCAGTACCATATAAACAAAAAAGCCAGAAGTGTCCCTGTGGCTCAAGTAGTAGAACCCTAGCCTTGAGCAAAAGAAGATCATGGATAGTGCCCAGGGCCTGAGTGCAAGCACCATAGCAAATAAATAAATAAATGGCAGCTGAGTGGTATTATATCCCCCGCCCCCCCCCCCAGCCTCATGGTGTTTTGTTTTGTTTTTTGCTCATTTTTAGGCTTGAACTCAGGGCCTGGGCACTCACTGGCCCTGAGCTGCTTTTACTCAAGGCTAGCACTCTACTACTGAGACACAGCTCTACCTCTGGCTTTTTCTGTTCATGTGGTCCTGAGGAATTGAACCCAGGGCTTCATGCATGCAAGGCAAATGATCTACCACTAAGCCACATTCTCAGCCTCATTTGTTCTTTTTTTTGGGGGGGGGTCTGGTCATGGGGCCTGAACTCTGGGCCTGTGTGCTGTTCCTCAGCTCTTTAGTTCAAGCCACAGCGCTACTTCCAGCTTTTTTCTTTTTGCTTATGTGGTGCTGAGGAATCGAACCCAGGGCCTCATGCATGCAAGGCAAGCACTCTACCACTGAGCCACCTTCTCAGCCCCTTGTTCTCTTCTTTTGACACCTTGTATCTGCAGTTGGGACTGTTCCCTATATTTATTTATTTAATTTATTTATTTGCTATGGTGCTTGCACTCAGGGCCTGAGCACTGTCCCTGAGCTTCTTTTGCTCAAGACTAGCACTCTACCACTTGAGCCATAGCACCACTTCTTGCTTTTTCTGTTTATGTGGAACTGAGGAATTAAACCTAGGGCTTCATACATGCTAGGCAAGCACTCTACAACTGAGCCACATTCCCAGGCCTCTGGTTTTTTTAATTAGAGAATGTGTCTGTTTTCTGTTACTATGAGGAAATACTGGAGGCTGGATAATTTGTTAAAGGTAAGTAGTTTAATTTGGCTCACAGTTTCTGATGTCCAAGGTCAGGCAGAGGGCATATCCAGTGTTGGCTTTGCCGGCAGCAACTTAAGTTGGCACATCAAGAGGTGGGCTGTGAAGCTGTTTGTCTTCTCGTCTATTGTTTCATAAAGCTACCCATTTCATCACAGGGAATCTATCCAGACAGGTATTCTTATTCCTCACCTCTAAACCCTGAGAGAATAAGATCTCTCTCTCTCTCTGGTTATGGGGCTGCAGTTGGGACTCTACCACTAAGCCACATCCCCAGCCATGAGTACACTTCTTTTTGGATAATGTCTCCCCTTCACTAGCTTAGCTCTCTCCCAGTTGAATGATACTTTTGTGTGTGTGTCAGTCGTGGGGCTTGAACTCTGTCCCTGAGCTCTTCAGCTCAAGGTTAGTGCACTACCCCTTGCACCACAGTGCCACTTCTAGTTTTCTGGTGGTTAATTGGAGGTAAGAGTCTCACAGGCTTTCCTGCCTGGGCTGGCTTTGAACTGAGATCCTCAGATCTCAGCCTCCTGCGTAGCTAGGATTACAGTGTGAGCCACCAGCACCCAACGAGTGATACTTTTTTTTTTTTTAATCTGATCATGGAACCAACCCAAAGCCTCACTTCATAATACTGAAATGATAGCCAGGCTCCACTTGTGAATTTTTGGTGGTTCACTGGAGATAAAAATTATCATGGGCTTTCTTGCTCAGGCTGGTGTCAAATCATGACTGATCCTCAGATCTCAGCCTCCTGAGTAGCTAGGATTACAGGCCTGAGCCACCAGCTCCCGACTTGACTTTCCTCAGCTCTTCAGCTCAAGGCTATTCCTCTACCACTTAAGCCACAGCACCATTTCCAACCTTTTCTGTTTATGTGGTGCTGAGGAATCAAACCCAGGGCCTCATGCATGCGAGGCAAGCACTCTACCATTGAGCCACCTTCCCAGCCCCATGGCTTGACCTTTTTTTTTTTTTTAAACTCTTATCACTGCTTGCTCCAATATTAAATTGTTTTTTTTTTTCCCGTGCCCCCCTTAAATTGTTTCTAAAAATAAGGTCTACCTACTTTTTTTCAGTCGTGGGTCTTGAACTCTGGGCCTGAGCGCTGTCCCTCAGCTTTTCAGCAGGCTAGCGCTCTACCACTTGAGCCAGAGCGCCACTTCCAGTTTTCTGGTGGTTTTTTTGGGGGGAGAGGGGGTCCGGTCGTGGGGCCTGAACTCTGGGCCTGGGCGCTGTCCCTCAGCTCTTCAGCTGAAGGCTAGTGCTCTACCAACTTGAGCCACAGCGCCACTTCTGGCTTTATTATTTTTTTCTTTTTTGCTTATGTGGTGCTGAGGAATCGAACCCAGGG